CCAGTTTTTATTCTATAATCGCTCACAATGAAAACTAGAAGAACCTGTCTAAAAGACTTCTACTACTGTATCTAAAAATCTCCTAATATGGAAACTAGACAGTGTTATGGTTGTATTGTCATGCTACACAATCTATTTCTACTTGGTGGACTGTTTCTTTGCTTTTTCTCTTCCTGAACTCCATTCTGCATTTCTGCAGCATGAAAGGAACCCATTTACCGTGAATGATGTTTATTTAAAATAAAACCTTTCTAGAGAATTGTCCTAGATAATCTAAGGATACAAAGTGAATCTAAAAGGAATGGTTTCCACTTTGAAAACAGGGCTGGGTTTGATCAGTGAATTCATATTCTCAAGACCCTCTTGATGGGTCTGCAGCTGCAGCCATTTATGTGCTGGCTTGTTCACAGATGTAGACAGAGAAAGCTCCACAGTTTCTGTCTTTTTGTTGTTGGATTTGTTTTCTTTAATATAATAAAGAGGCAACTTTTTAAAAAAGTTCTTAGTTTTGTTGTAGAAACTTGTGTATTTCAGACATCCTTGATAATATACATGGTTGAAATGACTATGACTTTTTAAAATCTAAGATCACAATGTAGGCAGAAACTATACTTAAATAACAGAAGGTGATCATTTGCATTTCAAAATTTATCTATCCTGCTTTTCCCTCAATTAGACCAAAACATGTTGATTCACAGGTTTCTGTGTGTGTGTGTTTTCTTTTTAAAACTTATTTATAGAGCAGAATAATGGCCCCCCTGCTAGTTTGGCATTTGCTCAAGTTTCTGTCCATGTAAATCGAATCTGTTACTGGAAATTTTTCTCAAAATATAAAGGCACATCATCCACAAAATAAAAAGATACATTGCTGATATTATAAAGTACAGGGCAGGTGGATAATGTTTTTAGGACAAATATGTGATAAGGATTCCCAGGAGGGAGGAGTGGTAGGAGTAGAGAGGTTAAATGCCATTCAAACAGAAGTGAATCATTCTCACTGTAATCTTGGACACCTTTACTTTCTAACCAAACATGAGCTGCTTAACATGCTTTGGAGTTACTTGGACAACAATATTAAGGTTAGAGTTGGGAAGTGGGAAGAAAGGAGGGATGTGGGAGGGGAATTCCTTCAACCCTTAATGTTTCTAAGGGTAAATCAAAAGGTGACTAAGTATTCTATGTCCCTCCTCATGTGCTTCTCATTTGTGACTTTCTTTGATTTGTGATTTTTATACATTGAAACATTAACATATTATCATTGCTACTATCCTCTGAGAAGAGCAGGAAAGTCTACTTGTAGTTTTTAATCAGTAACAGTGCTATTTGGTTTTGAGACATAATTTACAAATTTTTGCTCTGATTCCTCTTGAAGCAAGGAGGAAGGATCACACAGACTTAACCGAGTTCTATAACTCTTTAGTTAAGATCATCTAAATGAGAACATCAGGATTACTTTTCTGTTAAGGCCATTACTGGTTTTGTTTTACCTTGTTGCTAAAATTAATAGGCCCAAGGAATGGAGAGACTTTCCACAGTGTTCAATGCATGTCATAATACTAGAACACTTTTGCAACTCACAAAGCTTAAAAGTACAATTCTTTTATGCTAATAATTACAACAAAGCCTTTCTTCATACTTCACCTTTTTTCTAATGCTAGTGAAGGACAACCTGGAAGAAGACAGCAGACATCCATTAATGGCAGACTGCCACCTGCCGGTAGTCTATGAGAATTGTGATTTTTCTGAGAAAAGGCTTCAAAATTAGAACTTAGAAATTGATCTGTATTAAATTCAGTATTTCAGTAGATGAAACTGAAAGTATGGATCAGTTGATAAATTTAGTATGGTTATGTTCCATATATATTAAAGCTCTCAAAATGCCAACATGCCATGGATATTAAAGTAAACATGACTGTGCTTCAGACTAAAGAAAAATAATCTGCTAGAATGACTAAGTACAACCTTACAGATAGTTTTGAATAGAAGAAAACAATAAAAATAGGAAGTAAGGAGTCAGCTATAAACACTGCACAATGCCCCATGCACTTTCAGTTTGGCTGTGTAGCTTACACCCTCCTCACTTCAGGATGTAACAGGCTTCACTCAAAAGAACTCCTGGATTTAATTTTGGTCCTAAAACCTCCAAATTCATTTTAATTAACAAATGTATTTACATACATTGGTATCTAAAATGTTACTTCTTATCAAATTAGAAAGTGAAGGTAAAGATAAATTTGTTTAAAAAAAAAAATCAGGTAACTATAGTAAAGTGATTTCACCATGAAATTTTTTTTTGTTGTTAGACCATTAACTAAATCATACTAGCAAGGTTCAAAAAGAGCATCACATTATCTATTTGAGAAAACAAAAAATACAGGTGTGCTCTTCCAGGAAGAAATAAAATCAAGCAGTCCTAATATGGGGGAAGAAGGAAGAAAGAAACAAAACCCAAATCGCTGTTTTCGGGAGAGTTTTAGAATATTTGCCTTGTAGGTTGAAAAACCTTGCTATTCTTCCATACAGAAATAATTCTTAACAATGAAGGTTGTATCTAAAAACAATATAGCTATTTCAATCCTAATTATAATCATTTCCCATTACGCAGAGAAACAAGGTTAGCACCAATACACTGGTCAGCCGTAAGCATTAAATACTGTATTGATCAAAAGCTAAGCAGATCATGTCAACCTAATCAGATTGAAACTGCTTCAGAGGCCAGTGGATGACAAGTGAAGCAACTTTAGCCATCAAAAGAGGGTACTGTAGACAAGTGGTGAACAAACTTTGATTTCAAATATAGCCCCATTATCTGCACTGATGACAGAGAACTAACTCAAATCCAATTCATATGCTTAAGCAACCTATGATTGTCAGGAAAATATTGGAAACCCGCAGAAATAAATATCTAATTTAAAAAAAAATAAAGACAATACAGTAATGGCAAGAGAAGCCTGTTGTGTTAAGTATTTGGCTAAATGGGCTATTTTAAAACAAAAAGAACAAGCTTCCGAAATGTTCTCAAATATAGAAAGAATTCTTAAAACCTCATTCAAAAATGGCCGGTTGGCTCATCACCGAAATCACAATGCATTTTTTTTTTAAAATCCACATTTTATCCATTTTTAGCTTTAGGAATTTTTACCCTTTTAGCCAGCTACTTCTCACATCTTAATAAAAATCATCCATTTAAAGAGGTTCAGGGTATTTGAAGATCCTAGAAAACACTAAGAAGTTAAGACATTTCTAAGAATTCATTGCCAGTTCTAAGTATAAACCCATTTAAAACAACAAATACATACATACACACATATACATACACATATATACCTATAGATTATACATAATGGTTTATCCCCAAATTTTCTTTTGAAGGGTTAAACAGATAACCAGATCCTACACACATGTGAACTGGTAGTGAAAAATACAACTTGTATTTTGAAATGAGAGCTGCCGAACCACTTTTTCAAGTGAAACATTTTAGGAGATTGCTCTAACCTGGGGCACAGTACATTCTCTCTATGGCATCGCTGTCACAGGAATCTTCAACCTCACTCCACCTGCTAAAATACGTTAGCTGAATGTGTCCTAAAAACAAAACGACAGGAGAAATCAAAACATTTTTCTCTTCCATTTTCTGCAGAAGTGAACTGTAATTACTCCTTTTGTAGCTAAAAACAGTATCATTAAGAATAATGGCATCATTAAGTACTAGAAGCTATTACTGGGGGTGAATTTGCTGCACTGATAATGAAGCTCTAGACAGGAAATGAAGATACTAATTACAAGATAAAACGCCTACTCAGTTAATTGGAAGCAACAGCGAATAAAAAGAAATGCATTTGCAAAAGTTCCTGACCTCTATCATTCAATAAGATGTTGTTTGGGTTCAAATCACGGCACACAATTCCCTCTCTATGTAAAGCATCAAGGGCTACCACCATTTCAGCTGCCCATCTTTGAATGCAGCCCTCTGGGATGTAAAACCTGGAGTTTAGTGCTAATTTTTTATCAAGGTCCTCAAAAATCTGATGTATTTCCTTGTCTCCTTCTAGTGCTAGCCCACTTTGTCCCTTAGTCTCAGAGTCTCTCTGAAATAAAGAAGTTGGTTCCTCTTTGGCCAAATCATCAGTGTGATCTGTAAACAACAATACTTCTTCTGTTTTTAAAGTGTCTGTGTTCGCATTATATTCATTAGCACCTGAGAGTGGATTGGAAATATGGAATAAGCCTTCTTCTGTGGTGTTTGCAGTTACTGCTGACCCAACCACTCCAAGTCCCTGAAACTTAGGATCTGAGCTGTGCAACAAAGACATGTCTCCTGAACTACTACAATCAACAGCTGCTACAAATAACACCCCAAGATCCTCCTGTGCATAGTGTTTCTCTGTTATACTATGGGATTTGGATCTAGAGGGATCACTCAATGCCTCTGTGCATTCTTCATGTGCTTGGCACTGTTCAGTACTAAGCCTGAGGCATAAAACATCAGGGGCTTCCAATAGTTTACTTTCTATTATGCCTATATTAGTCTGTGTAAACTTAGTAGGTCCCATTGCTGCAGCTTCTTTTGTTGGCTCCAATTCACCAGGTAGATTTACAAGAAGATCAGGTCTTCCTTCATCAGTACTACTGACATCATCAAAAGCAGCCTCTTTAAAAGAAATAACTGGGACTGAGTCATCTGAGCCCCTGCTAATGGTGTCTTGAGCTTTAAACTCTACTTTGCTTTCAGTAGTACTAAAACTCCTGGAAATGCTATCTTCATCTGGAAGAGTAAAGAATGGTTTCAAAGGTTCTGACTTTAGACTATACAGTTTTTCTCCAAAATCAAGTCCCAGGAGTTCGCTTGTACTGTCCTTACTGTCTATCCTAAAGAATTCCATGGGGCTGTTTTTCGATCTACTGAGGGAATCTGATGTTCTTGGAGAACTAACTGCTTCTGGGTCATCATCTCCAGGGAAGAACTTCAGCTCATGAGCTATCAGCTGTGTGCTGGGGCTGTCACTGTCAGCAGCAAGGTGTGCGGGGAAAATTTTCACAGCTTTGGTATACACACTACTCTCTTCATTCTTTGTGAAGGGCTCCTCATTCAGAGATCCTGGTTCAATCTTTTCTTGCCCATACTCATTGCATAATGTTAAATAACTAGTAGTGCATTCCTCTTCTGAACTGGAACCAGAATCTGGCCACTTTGGAGAGCTATCTTGGCCATCATCTTCCTGGTTGCTATCATCTTGAGAACTTGGAGTAAGACTAGTCTTCAAAGGTAGAACTTTAAGCATGCTTCCACCATCACTTCCTCTGGATTCAAAGCTGCTGCTGTCCTGAGGACTAGAAGTTGGCTGTTGCAGGTGAACTTTAGTAAGTGTAGATTTTTTCACTTCCTTAATGTCAAAGCTTTCTTCAGGACTTCTGTTTAGAAATTTACTGATATATGACCAGAGTTTGCCACCTGTGAACAAGTATAACCAAAAAAAAAAAAAGAAAAGAAAAAAAAAAAGATCCCCCAAATTAATAGTTATTTAATTAAGCCATAAGAAAAATGAAAGTTTTTAATGATCATTTAAAAAGAAGTCAATGATACCCATTAATATCAAGTGTGCCATAAGACTAGCATATTTAACAAAAATGCCTTTTTGTTATTGCTGACTAGTGAGTAAGGTTTCAAGCATATCTCTTGATATCAACTATTTTTTACATGACAACTTGTTTCTTCCTTTGATGGAAAATTAGTTATAAGAAATACTAATATGAAATCTCACAGCTAAAATTCTGATTTAAAGTTAAATATTAGTTAGCCTTAGAAACATCTGATTATGTTCTTATCTGTTTGTGTAATAAATTTTTCAAGCATGGCTTCCTTGTCAAATGGAAATAATAAGTAAGTGCTGTTCAAAATTCTATACTATGGGGGGGAGGGGAAATCAGCATTACTATTCCATTTTGAAAATGCCCAGTCCAAGACTGGAGGGAAAATTTGGCACCTGATATATAATAATGCCTTCATAAGTGACATATTAATAATATTTTTCCCATTTTATGCCCCCCATAATGTAATGTGTTGTGTAAGATCAAGTAAAGTTATTGAGGAAGATTAACTAGGCAGCCACCAATGAGGCAACCTACTGTAATTCTGATCTGTATTCTAACATATATCTATAAAACTAAACTAAAATCATAAAACTAACACTCAAACCAAAATCACAAAAATCCCTTTTACATTAATCATAGAAATCAAATGAACACAAAATAATCTGGTGTTTCACCAGCAATACTTGTTATATAGTTATTATTTCACCATATTTTTCTTGTTTTATTTTAACCATTAGAAACTCAATTCCTTTTGCTAATTAGAATCTTTACAGAAAAACACTATAGTAAGTACCAAAAACCCACCACAGCTGGACTGCCTAGAAACAGTATTACGAGAAAAATAATTAATTAAATTTGATCCAGAAATCTTAAAAACAGTAACTGTGGAAGCATACTTTGTGAAGATATAACTGTAGCTTCCAAAAATGGGAAATTAAAAATAACGTGTTAAAAATAAATCAATCTACTCATACGTAGAAAGCAATTTTTCCAGCACATTTTTAATGTCATTTTTAAGCATCATATGCCAAGGGCAGCTAAATCTTGAGAAAAATAATCACTGACAGTCAATTCCATGTTTTTAAAAAGTCAATAAAAGCATCCAAAAAATCTTTCTACTTCACATTTCATTTTATTTTCATTTTGAGGAATTCAATAAATATATAAAGCACCTAACACTGTGTCTAGTGTAGAAAAAATGCTCAATAAAGGTTAACTGTCATAATATTAATCCTAGGGTTCTTCTACATCTCTTCCTACCGGTGATTTAGTAAACAGACTTACCCATTTTGGTAACAGTTAGTGGTTTAGGACATTACAATGTTTAACTTCTCCCTCTCATTTTTTCTTAGCTAATGCTTTCTGTCCTCCTTAGGGTATACTCAGTGTTTCACATTTCCTCATATTCAAACTAAAGCTTAAGGATTCATATATGGCTTTGAAATGCACTCATTCACAGAAATAGCTATGCATTGATTCCATATTCTTTAGTCTTTTAACAACAATACCCGCATACCTTTTATCAAAAATACCCATATTGTGGCACTCTAACAAAAATGCCTGAACTGAGATTCTTGTATGCAATCCAAATAAAATGATTTGTGTGGTTTTCAGTTCTCCTAGATGACTATTTTGAGAAATGGACTGAGTCTTTTTCATTTTTGTATGTCTACTGCACATACAGTGTGCAGGAAATGATAGGTATTCAGTCAATGATTGTTAAATCAGATGATAACTCATCAGAATGAGATGTGCCATAACAAAGTAGACAGTATCTGTGCATCTGTAAAGTTCCAGTGATCAGCAAGAAAGAGTACCTAATAAAATTCTAAGAAAAGTTTCACTCATTCTCAGGCCAATTCCACACAGATGAGCCACTAAAATCTAAAATTCATTGTGCTCAAATTTTTTATTTTTCCCCCCCAAAATCACTTCCTCTATCTGACTTCCAAGTCACTCTGACACAAAAGCTTTGGAGCAAACTTTGATTATTTTTTATTTTCCCTCCCTTTCTCTTCTCACATTTGACAAGTTTCCCAGTCCTACAGGATCCACCTATAATGTTTCTCCCAATCGTCCTCTTCTAAGTCCTTTGACTACTCTGTGCTTCTTGGGATAATGCTACAGCCACAACTGGATCTTTACTTTAAGTCTCTCCTGTATCGCTCTATCATACTAATTGCTAGCAATTAATCTTCCATTTTGGCACAGATCTTATCATGCCATTTCTCCATTCAGAACCCAAATCTCCTTTGCCTGCTGAATCATGTTCCAACTCCACAACAGGCATTTGAACCCCTCAGTAATACAGTGTCAACCCACAATTTGGTCCTCTCCCCTGTTCACCACACCCTGAATTGTATTTTCTCACACAGAACCCATGCTGGGCTTTTCTTCATACTACATTTACCACTTAGAATTTTTTTCCTCCTAGTTTCCTCAAGATCTGCTTGTCAAAATCCTACCAATTCTTGAAGGCACTTCAGAATTTGTTCTCTTCTATCATTTTTTTAATACCCCTTCGGTGGATATAATTCATATCTTCTCTGAATCCTCCATATCACTTTTTCCCTCTTATGACATTTACAACATTCTATTTCACATTAATATTACTTTTATATTTTTATTATCTCCTTTACCAGACTGCAAGGTCTTAATAACTGCAGGCACAGAATTCTATCTAGCATATAAAATAGGTATTAAATAAATATTCATTAAACTGAGTTATAAAAAGATGACATCTTTACAAATTTTCTGAAAACCTTTCAAGAAAAAAAAGTATAAGTACTAATAATTCGTCATGCTAATTAGTAGTATAGGGGTCATATTTTCTTCCTATTTTAAAACTAATACATAGTTTTATTGTAAAATTTTCAGAAAATATGGAGAAAAAAGAGAAAAGCAGCAAAAATTCAGAATATACAAATCACCCATAATCCCACTACCTAATGATAAACACTATTAAACCATTACTGTTACTATTTTCAGACTTTTTTATTCACAATTAACATAATATAAACATTTTTAAATTTTCATGAGAATATGAACTTGAATAGCTATATAGCATATCCATGTGATAGATACTATGATGTAGTTAAATGTTCCTTGGGCATTTAAGTTGCTTCTAGACTTTTACTATTAGAATTAAAATAATAAATACTTTTACATACAAAATACTTGATATATCTGA